GGCCTCCTCCTTCTGTGGGTGACATACCTCCATGTCTCCGTGGCTGCTCCTCCCGCGGCCTCTCCCTCGACCCTCTGTCCAGAGGGGGGCTGCTGCCGGGGGGCCTGGAGAGCTCTCTCGGCCCTCAGGCCCCTCACCTCCTCCTCTAGCAGGGTCCCCATCTTGCACCGAGGGCAAGTGTAGCCCTGCCTCTCCCGGGGGAGAAGGGCGAACAAGTCGCAGCTGTCACAGCGGACAGCAACCCCCGTGACTCCGGCCAAGGCCCTCTCCTGGCCCGCCATCGGGATCCCTTCCGAGACCTTGCCTTGGCCTGGTTTCTCCTGCAGTTCCTCGCACTCGCCCAGTTCTCCCAGACGAAAACCCACTCGCACACACACACAAGGATAAAATAAACTTAAATTTAAATTGGAAGAAAAACAAAGCACACCACAGCACGAACAAAACAAACAAACAATCAAACCTCTGTGTCTCAGGGAAGGGAGTCTCTGGACAGCCCGGGCCGCAGCCGAGGGACACCGACAAGGGACGGCCCCCTTCCCCTCCGCTGCTCCTGGCCCTGCTCCCCTGCCCAGCCCCTGCCTTGCCTTCGCCAGGCCCCTGGCCACGCAGCCTCTCCCCCCAGCCTGTGCCTCTGCTGTTGCTCCGCTGCTCTGCCAAGAGGCCAGAGCCAAAAGCACAGGCTGATCCACAAGCCCCAGCAGGGAGAATCTCAGAGCAGGCTGCCCTTCACCACTCCACCGGGCCAGCCAGCAACTCTCTGCCCAAGTTGTCCTCTTGGGAAAAAAGCTCCCAAAAGCTAAATGTTTTTACATACACGACCCAGAATTGCTATGCACAATTCTGCCATCTGCTGGCAGCAAAAGTTTTCCAACTCTCAATTTGGGGAAGTTTGCATCCAGACAAGAAAATCTAAAGTGGACCCAATATTTATGGCAATTCCTTCCACATTTGCTGCAAGCTTACTTACCTCTGTGGTTACAAATTTCATCAGGAACTGTTCATATTCCTTTTTAAAAGGAAGTCAAATGGGAGAGGGACGCTTAGGCTGCCCGGTGAAATCTCACTGGCTGGGAAGCCAAATACAGAGAAATGCAGCCTGCATCTTCTCCAACCGAGCCCTGGCAGAGGGCATTCCAGCCTTTCAAGTTGGGACAAAAACTGCAAAGGAAGGGAAAAAAGGGAGAAAAGAACAGGGCTTGGGAGATGAAGAAAGGCCTTCAGCTGTAAAATAAACATTACAAGGGTTCCTTTGGGGAGATGCAACACCAGAGGTCTCGGGGAAGGAAAGTGTTTGCTTTTTCCAAATAGAATATTTTTCTCTTTCATCTGGGGACATCCCTTCCCCATTTGCTCGTGCCGGCTTGGGCTGATGGGAGCTGTATTCCATGCATCAAGAGGGGCCAGAGTGGGAAGGGCGTGTGTCTCCTGAGCAAAGAACAAGCCACACAGTGACCTCTCTTTGCAGCTCATGAGCCCCTGTCTGTCTGAATGCAGGAAGACGCTGCAGCTCTCCCGGCAACTGAAGGACCACGTCATGGAGGCGCAGTCGTGCTACAGCCTGGGAAACACGTACACCCTCCTCCAGGACTACGAGAAAGCGATCGAGTACCACCTGAAGCACCTCGCCATCGCCCAGGAGCTTGGCGACCGGTAAGAAGGCAGCAGAAGGTCTGGGTGCCGCAGCCGCTCTTCCCACAGCAGGGAGTGGGGTCTGCCCAGACTCCCAGCCCAGGCAGCCCTTCTGTCCAAAGGCGAGGTCTCCGCATTGTCCAGAGAGTGCAGAGGGTTCCGGGAGGTCTGCCGGAGGTGTTCCTCTGCAACAACAATGGGCAGATACCAAGGGTGCCGAAGGGCCGGTCTCACATTGCCGGTGTGGGCCTGGTGCCCAAAGGGCACTCCGAGCCCGTCGCTGGGAGCGTGGGCAACTCCCGATGGACCTGATGCGCTCGCGCCTTCCCCGGGCGGAGCAGGAGCCGCTTCGCCCTCCTGCGTCCGGCCACGCCTCTGCCCCGCAGCAAGAAGGGTGGGGTGGAGACCTTGTTCCCGGGAGAGGGTCCGGGCCAGGCTCCAGGCAGAGGGCTGCCCCGTGTCTCCGCTGGGCTTGCCCCACAGCCTGGGCAGAAGCGCCTCCCCGGCCAGGCCGAGCGTCTGTGTCGTGTGGGCCGGTCTACCAGGGCCGGCCCCAGCAGTGCTGCTCCAGGCACAGAGGGAGGGCGGCCCCTTCAAGCCTCCCAGCGCCTCCAGGGGGCGCCAGGGGCCACGGCCCTTTCGCCTGCCGGCCACGGTGCTCCTGGCCCAAGTGCGGAGCGGCGTGAGTTGCGCTGCAGGAGCCGAGCCGCACATGTCATGCCGCTTGCCGGAACGCTGGAGGGGCCGCCCCGTGTCCCTGCCAGAGGGCGTGCGGAGGGGCGCAGAGCAACGGGACCTCCTGGCCTCCAGGGCCGGCCACCGGCTGCCCTCCTTTCGCGCTCCAGAGCCTCTCCCGGGCGTCTGTGGGCAGCCAGGAGCCCCACGTGGAGTCGGCAGAGAGCCCGGGGACGGGAGACGGGAAGCCTCGCTCTCGCCCCAGCAGCAGAGGCGGTGGGCTGCTGTTCCACCGAGTGGCCTCAATGCGGAGCGTGCGGCCGGCGGAGTTTTCCCACCGAGGGGTGCGGTGGAACTCTGCCCCCTGGCCGAGGAGGACGGCAGGGATCGCCCCTTCCCGAGAGAAGGGGGACCAGCTGGCTGCCCACCAGCTCACCTGCAGCACCTCCGGCCTCCTGGAAGCTACAGAGCACAGCCGCCCTCCCTACTGGGACACCCCCGGGGTGAGGTTTGGGTGCCCCAGGAACAGGCCGGGCTTGAGTCTAGGTGACAAAGGGGGTACTGTAGGTCAGCGGGCAGGCCTTCAGCGCAACTGCCCTGCACCCTTTGCCCGCACGCTGCCTCAGGTGCGCAGCCCATTCCAAGCAGCACCATGGCCCCAATCCGGGGCTCCCACCCTGTGTGACGGGGTGGAAACACCTGGAGCGCAGCCCAAGTCAGCCCAGACACAATCTCTCCCCAGCCTCCTGGAGCCCACCCTGGGGAAGCTACAGAGCCTTCACCCCCTCCAGAGCTCAAGCAACACCATGGAGGGCCGTGGCAGCGGGCATGGAACACCCAGCCAGCCCAGGGCAGTCAGGATGGAATCCGTGCCCAGCCTCCTGGAGCCCACCCTGGGGAAGTTCCAGAGGCGCCACCCCTTCCAGCGCCCCAGTAACAGTGGCTTGGGAGCCTCACACCACCTGTGGCGCCAGCCCCCTGCCCCCCGGCCTGCCTACCTGCGGGGGAGAGGGTGTGCCAAGGACGGCCGTGCCCCCCTTCCGGGACCTCGCAGGCGCTGGTGGTCCACTGCGCGTGCAGCACAGAACACTGGGCAGGACAGACCCTTGCTTTCCTTCCACCGATGGTCTTTGGAGACCTGAAGCGAGGAGCAGGATGGACCCGTCCCGGGTTGGGGGATGAAGCCCTTCTGAGGGCTGAAGGGAGGATCCTCTGCTGACTCTGTTGGGGGCAAATTCACTGGCTGCAGGACCTGATGGCACCATGCTGTCTTTGGTGTCAGAGGTGCAAGCCTACAGAAATCTGGTGCTGGAGGACGTGGGCGGGAGCGCTGTGCACTGCGTCCTCTTGTGGGCCGCCTCAGCCCCTCCGGCGGACCACCCTGCGCGCAGGAAGCTGGGTGGGAGGACCCCGGTTAGTCCGGCGTAGCTTTCCTCTGCTCCTGGATGGGGACTGAGCAACTGGGCCTCTTAAAAGTGTATGGCCGCCTTAAGCCAGCCAACTCAACGAACCGTTTTTCTCAGGCTTCGTGGTGCATCGTGGGCTTCTCTCTACGAAAGCTTCGAAAATCAACAAAATTATTCTGGGTTGAAGCCACTAGGGAGAGACAAAGATTTCATCTGGAATGTCGTGAATCGGAACGTTCAAGGTTTTGCGCTTGTGCCAGTTTATTTACAGAACTGCTTTTCCGACAGATGAGCAAAAAGTGGCATCTTTTAAACGCCGCCAAGAATTTGGAGTGCAGAGAGATGTGGGTCTTGTTCTGTACGTTGGGGGAAGCGGTGGAGACCTTGGATGAGTGTTGTTTGAGGGGCAGGAATGCCCCAGCCGCTTCTGTCCCTGAGGGGGCGCCTGAGGCTCCTCTGCGGTGCAGCTTCGCAGGTGTGGGGAAGCCACCGCCCTGCATTGTGGACTCCTGCTTGCCTGTTTTCTGGCCGAAGGTTGGCCTACTATTTCATAGCTTCTTAAACCTTATATCCTTGAGGACTAGAAACCCTTTAAGAAAGAAAGAGAGAACTACATCAGAACAATAGCATTATTGGAATGCGTGCTCAGTACAGCTCCACGGATCTCCTGCCCCACTTGGGGTCTTTCAGCAGCACAAGGAAATAGAGGCTTTGATTTTCGTGCTCAGATGTTGAGGCATCTCATTGACTCCGTGACATTATTTCCTGCTTTTGGCTTTTGCAGGGTGGGAGAAGGGCGAGCCTGCTGGAGTTTGGAAAATGCCTACATGTCCCTTGGGAAGCGCGAGCAGGCGCTGGCCTTCGCAGAGAGGCATCTCGAGATCTCCCAAGAGGTAGTGCGCCCTCGCTGGCTCTCCTGCCTGTGTGTGCTTCGTTTTTCATTGCATGCCACCCTGAGAGATGCCACCCGTTGCCGGTCACCCTCGGCAGGAATGTCACGCTCCAGGAGCAGTCGCGGTGCTTGGGTTGGGCTTTGGGGGCAAAATCCAGGACTCTGCAGCCCTGGCTCCCTAAGACCACTGAGCGAATGCTCTGAAGGGACGAACAACACAACTTTTTAACCCTGGACTGACGGATTGCATTTCTGTCCTTCCCAGCAGCCAAAGCTCTCGCTGGACAGTTCACAGCCATTAGAATCATGAATACAACATGAGATACACTATAACAGTTTTAAATTGCAGCATAAAAGAGAAGCAAAGACCAAGAGAAAAGCTAGCAGTAATGTGGAGGTTTAAAATACAGAAACTGAAAGACTGAAATGCCTGGGAAAATAAGATTTTCCCCTGGCACCAGAAGAAGCACCATGTAGGGACCTGGGTGCCACGGCAGAAAAAGCCCCGCCCTTTGGCGCTCTGCCCCTCCTTTCCCAGTGGAGGTTGGACGAGGACGCGGTCAGGGCCAGGCAGGTGCTGCGCCCGAGACATGCGGAACGTGGAGCGCCTTTTGTAGGGCTTCCCAGGAGGATGACTCTGGATTGGGCGACTCTCTCACGCTTGTATTTAAGACAGACCCGTTGCAGATGACATGCCAGCGCCACTTCCCCTCCTGGTCAGAGGACTGGAAACCTCACCGGGATCGGGAGGGAGGTTCGGCCTGTGGCCCACAGGCCAGAGAGAGGGTCACCCTCGCTGGCGAAGCATGCGGCTGAGCGAGCAGTTCAGTTTCTCTTGAGAGCCCGGCCACGTGTCCGCGAAAGCGTTTAGCCGTCCTTGAACACATGCCCTGATTGCCGGTTCCATGGCTGCGCTTCTCCTCCATGGACTGAATCAATTTTGCTTTGGTCCACAGGAAGACGTTGCGCAAATCAGGCAATCGGCACAAATGTGGGGGAGTGCGTGCCAGTCGCTGGTTTGATTGCCGCTCGCTTTGGATGCGGTTTCAGCTTGCTCGCTAGAAGCAGCGGTTGCAAATACCAGTGGGAACCAGGCACAGTCAGAGTGCCGGGGGATGTTTGGAGCACATGAATGTTGTAGGCCCATCCAGGCCTGATTTGGATCGGGACCTCTTTGCTAGATGCAAAGGGAGGGAAAGGAAAAAGTCGCCAAAGCTGCCACCGGGGAGTGACCCCACTGCTCAAATCTGGAAATCTGAGCAGCAGAACCTTAGCTTACCCCCCACCCCCACCCCTCTCTCTCTCTCTCGCGCACACACACACACACACAGAGTCACACAGAGCCACATTATTAAGTTGTCAGCTCTTCCAGATAAATATTGTTCTCTGGCCTTTTTGCGGCAGCGCATGTGGGGGGTGGTTGGTTCGCGTCCTCCGTCTGATTACTCAGTGCCAGATGGGAACAGAACAATGCGGACATTTCCTGGAGGCGGATGGCTGGGGAGGGCGTTTGAGCCTGGCGGGGGGAGGACGGCCCCATGACGGCACGGCAGGGCCGGTGTACGGCGGCTGCATTGACAGACCCTCTTCCGTGTTCCTTTTTGGAGAGGAACTGCGAGCTGCACCCGCTCCAAGGAGGGTGAGCGACTCCTCGTGTGCTCCGAGAGCGCGGTTTCTCGTGCCGCAGTGGAGCCAGTGTGGCGCCCAGTTACTGCACCCTCCGTCAAGCTGGGTCCGCGCAGCATTTAAGATGCGGCCGCAGTTAGCCGTGCCAGAGTCAGGAATGCCGTGGGGCGTCGGATGCCAGGTTGAGGAAACCTCGGTTAGACTTGCGCGGTGGGAGGTCCCAGCTCTCAGCTCTTCCCGGAAGGATGCTTCTGACCTGGAGGAGGCGGGCAGGGGGCTCGGCAGCCCCAGAGCTGCAGGGTGAAGGCAGAGCCCAGCAGCCTTGGAAAAGGAGGGGGTGTCCCAGAGCGAGATGGGGAGGGGGGATTGAGGGGGAGTTCCTCAAGCCATAGCGGGAGACAGGCAGAGTGAGTGGCAGGCTAGCCGTGCCCGGCAGCACAGGGCTCCTCAAGAGTCAAGGCAGAAGCGTTCCCAAAAAGGAGCGAGGGTAGAGGCGTTCGGCCCGAATTCAGTGCTTCGCACGAGCAGGCACTGGTCCTCACCTTGAAGAGCTTTCTTGATGTATGTTGCTTTGTAACCTGAATGGCACTGATAAGAGACCAGGCACCTAAGTTTTAGTTTAAGTCTGCTGGGAGAGAGAAGCTCGCGAGAATTCAGGATGCCCAAATGTGAGTCTCCGTTTGGCCACAGAGTTCACCAGCCACTGGTGCTCAGCCAAGCCTGTCCTACAGGTTTGTGGTGAGGATAAAACAGAGAGGAGGAGGATCAGCTTCCTCCTTGGGAAAAAAGTGGGAGATACAGAAAAACAAATCAGAGTTGCTCCTTAGGGTTTAAACAGAGCATGCTGAGAAAGGTGAAAACAAAGCCAGTCAGAAGTTTGCTTTATGGCCATACCAGAGAACGTCAAATGGTGCATAACAAAGCCCATCACAGGTAATTACTGTAGAAAGGCCATTAACTAATTCATTACCTAATATGAAAATTCAGCAGCGAATATGTTGATAAATCACATGCACAGCAGCCCTTTGCTCGAACTTTGGTTTAATCCTCACCTGGAGAGACTCCAGCCCAAGTTTGTGTCATCTTCTGGGCAGTAATTTGATTTGTGGTCCTCAGGAAGGGCAGTCAGTCCTTTTGCAAGCATTGCCGAGTGTTTAATCTGCTTTGCCTTTGCAATGCGGCGCGATCCGTAAAGCCAGGGGTGCATTTCCTAGACGATGACTGTTGGCAATGCTTTGCAGACTGGAGACCTCAGCGGGGAGCTCACGGCACGTGCAACCGTCTCGCAGCTGGGCCTGAAGCACACGGGGGAGGAGTCGGAGGCGCCTGGCTTTGAAGGGCAGGGTGAGCAGAAGCCTCGTTCGGTTCGGCCGCAGGGGCCTCTTCCCTGGCTCTTGTGCGTGATTTGCAGGCCTGAGTCACGTCTCTGGCCTGTGGGCAAACTCTTCCGTGCTTGGAGTCTGAAGAGGGGAGGGGGGCTGCTCCCCAGGAAGTTGTCGTGCACAAGCTTTGTGGAAGTGAAAGGGCACCTCCCCGCTTTTGGCGCAGCGGCCGCTTGCTCCAGCGAAGCCTCCACAGGAGAAATTCCCCACTCCGGGATGCTGCAGGATCCCAGACACGACGGGAAGCTGCATCCCTTCGGCCAAAGCAGGGCCAGCCCCAGGCGTGGCTCAGCCAGCAAGCCGCCTTGCCCCAGGTCAGCGTGACCTGCCTGCCCGGGTCCTGGCCGTGCCGGGCGCACCATCAGGAGGGCGCTGGAGGCCGACTTCAGGGCTCCCCTGCCCCACGCACTGCCGGATTTCAGTACGGCAAGGGCAAGAAAGGTGTTTCTGGGAGGAAGCTCTGCGGGAGTGGGAAGGCCCGTGTGTGGCCCCAGCCGGGGGAAAGACGCTCTCGTGACCCCAGGGAAAGGTTGTGGCAGCCTGAGGCTGCCTCGCACAGCGGACCCCAAAGCCTCGCTAAGCAGCTCCTGGCAGCCTCCACCTCGTCCGGCAAGCCCTCCGCCCTCCGGGGCCCGGTTTCTTCTCGCTTTCTTGAGAGGGAGAAGTCGATGCCTGAGCCTGATGAACTTGTAAACACGGTTGCGGGTGGGGGGAGGGGGGTTGCGAGCTGCATTAATCAAGACGTATTCCTTCTCTGAAGCTTTTATAGGCCTATAATGACCTCATTCATCAGCAGGTTCATTGATTGGGTTGCCCAGGTCAGACATGTTCTAATCAGGAGTACAAAATGTACTCACAAAAAGGTGCAGGGAGGCAGGGGGCCCCCAAAGCGAAAACGAAAACCAGGGAGCCAAGCCGAGAGAACTAGCCTGAGGCACGGGGCGGGGGGGGGGGGGGGATGCGGCGCAGCCGTGTATTCGGCTGGGTTCCTGGGTGAGGGGGCGAGAAGGCCGGCCCTGCGCTGGTCCTCTGCTGGCCCTGATGGTGCCAAGCCCAGCTGTGTGCTGCAGGTGTGGCTGCCAGCAGAATCCGGCCTCTGCCTGACGTCTCCTCCTGGGCACACCTGGAGAGGGACTTCTGGCTTCCACCTCTCTGGCTGCACACGGATATGTGCCAGCACTTGCTTCTCTGGCCTCCTTCCTCCCAGGACACATACATGGAGCAGAGAAGGCGCACCGCAGGGGTCCTCAAACTTTTTCAATAGGGGGCCAGTTCAGTGTCCCTCAGACTGTTGTGGGGCCAGACTGCACATTAAAAAAATAATTAAATTAAAATTAATTAAACAATTAATTAAACAATTAAAAAATGTTTGACTGCTTGCTCAGAGAAGGCCGCAGCGGAGGTGGTTGTCAAAGGCTCCTAGTCCTGACACACAACTGGCAGTGTGCCTAGGCATGCTGTTTGCTGGGCGACATGGGCCTGCCCCTCCTCTGGCACCTGTGACTCCAGGTCTGAGCGGCCAGTTTGCTGGCCCAGCCTTCACCAAGTTTGGTCCTTGCAGTCCAGTAGATCAGAAGGGTGCCAGTCTGGCCAGGACAGTTCTAGAGGTGCTTCCCGGACGGTTCCGGGGCGGCCTGTGGGTCCACCTTCAGCCCAAGGGCAGCTCTCAGTGTGCACCCTGCTGATGTGCAGAGCCGGCGGCCGGAGGGGGAGGGCAAAAATGTCTACCCTGCTCAGCTTCTCGCTCTCACTGCCACTCCCGACGCCTCGGAAAGAGCACTGCAACTGTCCGGGGGGGGGGGGTACAAAGCCTGGGAAAACAGCCAGGGGTCTGCAGTCGAGGGGGGCTGCCAAGGGAGGGGACAGCCTTCTGGTGAGGAACCCCATTGGCGCAGCCATGCCACACAGCCCTGACCCCCCCCCCCCGAGGCCAGCGTGGGCTCTGTGTCCCCAGCTTCCTGTTTGGGGAGGCCACGATGCCGGGCGGCCACGTCGTGCCCACGGAGCACCTCCAGAAGCACTCGGCTGCGCACAGCAGCCTGCCTGCATGGAGAGTTGGCTGCTGCCCTGCAGAAAGTCTTGCCACAAGGAAGGCTTTATCTGGGTTGTTTACGCACCACCAAGGAGACCAGGGTCAGCAAGCTCCACCCCGTGGGCAGGGCAGCCTGCCAGCTGGCCTGGGGAACAAGAGGCACTTGTCCCAGCGGCAGCGGGGCTGCCTGCGCGGCTCCCGTCCTCGGGCTCCGTGGCCGTCCGGGGTGGGCAACAGGCGGACCCCCTTCACTGCGATTCCACTCTGGAGGCGAGGTGGAAGCACCCAATGTAAGTAGTTTCCAGCCCCTTCCTTCCCTCAAAGTTTGCTGCCTCTTTCTCTCCCGCAGCCCCGGGGCAAAGCCATTTGCAAAATTCAGCCGCCCCCTGGTTCGGGGTGGGGAGCACAGCCCCTTCCAGATGTTGCTGGACTCCAGGTTCCATCATTCCTGACCACTGGCCTCCTGCACGGGATTGGTTGCAGTTCCGCCCAGACAAGCAATAGGCGTCCCTGCTTCTTCTCCGATGCAGGAGGCAACCGGCAGAGCTGCAGGGCTCCTTTGGGAGCCCCCACCCTTGGCTGCTGTCCTCCAACAGAGGCAGGCGACAGGGTGCACCTGGCTGCTCCAGCCCGCACGCGTCCGCCTCCCTCCCTGCCAGGGCATGCGTGGGGTACCCCCTTTGCCACGCAGCCTGATCCCTCGTTTTCTCCTTTCCGGCTGAAGGACTCGGTGCAGCCGCTTAATTACAGTTATGTGGCTGATTCACGATGCTGTCCGAGCTAATTACTGCTTAGCACAGAACCGGTTGGCTTCTGGGGCGCCTGTGCGCCTGAGCTTTCACTTCTTGCCAGGAGCACCTCTGAGTCGTGGAGGACGCCTCAGAGGGACTGGGCAGGGGGGGGGCAGGCCTCGCGTTCCCTCCTCAGCCTTCGGTGGAGCTGCTCGAGGGGCCCTTGCTTGATCGGATCCTGGCCTGGCACGGAAGCAGCCGCGCGGGCGGGCGGGCGGGCGCTCGGCGTGTCCTCAGTGCCACGCCGTCCTCAAGGGTCCGCGTGTCCCGACGGGAGCCCTGGGGGTGGGCGCTGCCCATGCCCTTCGCCGCAACCTTGCCGGCAGGGGCCATGCGGCGGGGGAGGAGGGCAGTGGTGGAGCTGGCTCAGCAAGAAGGGGTTCCAAGAGTGAGGTGTTGACTCCCCAGCCTGGAGACGGCACGGGGGGCGGCCTCAGGGGCACTTGGCGCCCTGCTTACAGCAGCTTCCGTCTGCCTCCAGGCAAGTCCGAAGGACCGGAAGGGCCCTTGGGAGCCCAGAAGGGCTTGGGAGCAGCCTCCCTGCATCTCCGTGCGTGGCTGCCTGGCGCCGGAGGGCCTCCGGAGGGGGGAGAGGCTTCCCTCACTGCTGCCCCCCCCCCGAGGCACTCTGGTGTGGAGGCAGGACGGGGCCTTCTCCATGGCCGCAGAGTGAAAAGGGAGCCAGAAGTGCCTCTGCCCATGTTGGGGGGTGGGTGGGCAGGGTGCTTAGGAGCTCCCAAGAGAGAAGGCAGCGGCTTTCCTAAAATCCGCACGTGCGGATTTCGATTCATACCTACCCCCTCAAACAGAGGTTCCCTTTCAACTGAGAATGGTCCTCTAGCAAGGAAGATGTGCAGACACCCTAAGCGGTCCTGCAAATGCAGGCCCCCGAACAGAGGACTGCTCTCTGACAGAGCAGCCCCAGCCAGCTTAGGACAGGTAGAGGGGGCTGTGCTGCTGCAGCCACCCCCCAGAACCGGGAGCTGCCAAGACGCAGGTGTTTCCAGGTCTGAAGGAGCAGCTCTGAGCTCTGGGCAGAGCCCCAGCACTGTTTTTCTGTTTGAAACGAACCTGCCGAAGGCAACCGGCCGGAGGCAGCTTCCTTGACAAGGGGCTCTATAAATGAGACTTTCAAGGAGCTGTTTTGCTGCAGTGGAAAAAGAAAACAGAGCAAAACCCCCGCACGCCCCACCCACGGCCACCGCGCATGCATCCTGGCACTCACGGTCTGGTGTTTCCTCAGCCGCGTGCCGGCTCCCCTGGCCAAGGAAGCCTGCGCTTCGGGGTGAGGCTGAGCAAATGCCCACGGACGCACCACAGCATTCCCCCTGCGTGGCTCTTGCCTCCAGCAGCATCGCTTCCTCCCAAGCGAGCGAGTGCAGCAGACAATCTCCTGTTTGACTCTGATGTCCTCCATGAGGGGAGATTTGTGGCCGCCAAAATGCCAGCTCAGGTGCGCCTGCCCCTTCGATCCACACGGTAAAAGAAGCACAGGGCATCCTTGACACCTGTGGACAAGGAGAGGCATGCACTGGAAAAGCCACGCCGTCATTTTATGTGCATGTGCCATGTTTGCGCCTGCTGTTGGCAGTCCCCCTGCCTTATCTCAGCGCTTGGACGTTGAGAACAGAACTGGCAGTCGCCGTGCTTTGATCTTCTCCTTGCGAGCAGGGTGTCGATGTCAGTAGGGAAGGGGGAGCGCACACCGTGGGCAGCCCTGCCGCCAACCCCCAGCCAGGGTTCAAAAGCTCCACTTCCGGTGCTGATCCCGAGAGCGACACACCAGATCCAGCGAGTCTCATCCCCAACAGGAGCAATCTAGTGGGTCTTTGTGGCCCATTCCTGACCAAGCCCCTCCAAATACTTTGCATTTCAAAATAAACTGTTGTTGGGGAAATTAATCCCTCTGCTGCTGTGAGGATGACGGCCGAGGGGGAGGGAACTGGACAGTCTGGGAGGGCTGGCAGAGGATGCCAGTGACCGTGCGGGGGCCGCATCCCTGCGAGCCCTGGTGCCACGGCACCGCTGCTTGCGAGGCGAGCGCCAGAGCGCGCCAAGCCAGGCCTGCTGCACCTTCTCGGCTCGCTCGAGGCCAGAAGGCTCTGGGTGGCGTCCTCTGCAGCCTGTCCCTGGGGTCAGCCCTTCTCCTCCTCGGCCTGGCAGAGAGCGCCTGTGCGCTCTCGTCCGCTGCCAGTGGAGGGACGGGCTTGCCCCCGAGGCCGAAGTTCTGCATGGCTGCGTCGTGCAGGCCGCCCTGTCCTCGCCATGATGCAGCTGAACAGGATGTGTGCCCGGTGGCGGTGCTGGCCACGGGGAGGGGCATCCAGGGGGGAGGCTCAGAGCCAGCCCCCGGGCCCGCGCTTGGGCTCTTCCCTCCCTCTGCCTCAGCCTCCGCAACGCAGTGTAGCAGCCACCGGATGCTGTGCCAGGCCTCCATTAGCAATCAGCGGGTCCAAATTTCCCCCTTCTCTTCCTTTTAATATGAAGTCGCTTATTTATTTTCTGATTTTATTAGATTTCTATCCTACCATTTTCCCTGTGGGAAGCCCAAGGTAGCTTACACAGCCCTCCTCCTCCAAGGTCTGTCCTCACAACAACCCTTTGAGGTTGGCTAGGCTGAGAATCAACTTAAGAAATGTCTCAGGTTGCTGCCAGGATCTGGAAAAAAGGCAGGCAATAAATGCAATGATAAACAGATCTACTGATCGGAGGATTTTCGAGGTACTTATCGAAAAGGGGCAGGGCACTCCAAAGAGCTTCTTGGCGGTGGAATTGGAAAGACTTCCAGAAGCGGCGCAGACAAGCCAGGCCCCGAGGCCTCTGCCCTGAGAGCATTTCAGCACTACAGTGAGATGGAGATCAGGGAAGGAGAGGAGACAGAGAGGCGAAGGGCAGAAGAAAACGCAGGTAGATGGTTCCTCCTCTGAAAAAGTTTCTAGGGGTGATTTCCAAACTACGAGTGCACCCAAGCCACCCTCTGCTTTTCTAAAAATAGGGATGAATCATGCCAGTCAGCCAGGTGGCTCCGCCAGCGCTCTTCAGAAAGTTTTTGACTTGGTAGATTAGAGACCTCGAGCAACCTTAAAAGACAGAGCGAGCATTTAGATCCACCACTGAGGCGTCCTGCTTTCCTGCTGCTCCTTTCTGGTAAACATGGCAGGAACTATGTGGGAGGGTGGGGGAAAGTCCAGAGCAATGTGTAGGGCAGTGCCCCCCCCCCCCCGCTCAGCTACTGAATCTTCTTGGGTTTGCTGAGGAAAAAGAAACAGAACCCTGGAGAGACACGTGAACCTTTCTAACTTGGGCGAGTTGGCAGCTCACGCTCACTCTCAAGCACTGGAAAAAAACCGTCTTGAGTGTCTTCTTAGTTCTTGCTTCCCTGGTAACCTGAATAAAATAATGCCTAAAAGAATAAAAAGATGCGGGTGAATGCAGTCTGTGGCCAGCAGCGGGGAAGGGCAGGGCCTGTGAGGTTTTGGAGAAGGGATGGCTTTACGTCCCCACCTCTGAGCTCTTTTTGTGACCACTGGAAAGCCACATGGGGTCAGCCTCAGTCCCCCCCCCCCCCCGTAAATCCTGCCTTGCATCCTGGGATGGTGAAGCATCCCAGCGTGATAAAGAATTGTGTGTCAATTGATGAATGCTGTGCAAATAGCTATAAATATTGGTGACTGGAAGGGACTGCCTGGTCCTGAACAAGCTTCAACATCAAGTGTCAAAGGGTCTGTGGCCAGTGCAGCTTCCTGTGGTCTGCTTCAAACCCACCCTTTTACTGGCACCATGAGGATGAGAATCGCATGTTGCTTGGCAAACAAATCAGATTCAATTCCAGAAGCACCTTCAGGTAGGGCTAGATGGGCAGGGGGAGCCCACCTGAGGCTGTTCCTGCCCACAATACTGTTGTTTTGTTACGTTGCCAACGCTGGCCAAGATGAGCCAAGGCAGCAAGCCCAAGGCAGCTTCCTACATACTCATCCTGTGGGTAATTCCGATGCCTGGGACAGGGGCAGGAGGAGGGGAAATGGTGATGGTGTGTCTGTCACGGCACATTTGGAAATACTTGGATCTGTCCTCCAGCAAAGCATTTTGAGGTTGGCGAATGGCTTTCTCCAGGGGGAATCGCAGCTGTAATGTCAGTTTAACATCTGCTGGGTGCCTGGAGACCCCAGATAAAAGTCTCCAGACAAAAAGGTGCTTCAGGTGCTGGGATCTTGCAGTGAGGGATGAGGGGGTTCCCAGGGCCCGTCTGGACGTTTCGGCTGTGGCCGCTCATTGCACCACCGTTGGGCCTCGGGGCAAAGTGCAGCTTCTCAGTCTCTGCATGTGGGAGCTGCACAAGGCTGCGGGTGCCCGCGTGTGCTTGATGCGTCCGAGGCAGCGGACAGTCTCCACGGAAGTTCCCCCCAGAGTAAGTTCTCCCCTTGTGAAGCACTGCAGGACTCTGCCGTGTATGCATGCACTCTTTATGCACGTTTATGCGCCTCTTGGGGGTGCACTGGGCGAGACTCCGGCGGTTCCAGCATGGTGCATGTGGCAAGGAATGTGCCCACGTGGACCTGCCTTGGCACCGGGCGCAGCCGGTGCCTCCAGCACCAGTGGAGGGGCATCCACTCCTGCGCTCAGTCCCACCTGTAACGGTGCTGAACCCTGTCCGCAAATCAGGACTGGTGCCATGGATAGCTCAGGAAAAGCCCAGTGCAGAATCCAGCGGGGATGCGCAGCTTTGCTGACACGGGAGCTGCTGGGTTTAGCGTTCATTTCCTGACGGGGGTGCCGCGGCGTGAAGTGCTGCCCCACGAATGGGCTTGTGATTTGGAGCTGAGCCCGCTTTCAGGGGCCAGGGTTGTTTTAACTCGCCTTCTGGGAGGTGGGTCTTTTGGGGCTGGGCATCCCCACCATGCTGGCTGCTCGAGGAATGGGCAAGCTGGGCAACATGGCAGCCATTTTGTGAGAGCGCCCCTGACGCCACGTTCCAAACCAGCCTGCCGATCGCCCCAAGGCTAGCTCCTTGCGAGCTCAGGAATGGAGCCCCCGAGCCACGAGGACCGGCTCTGGCCACGCAGGTGTGGCCAGCGCTGGAAACCCATGGGGGAGACCTGCGCCTGCTCCATTAAAAGTGCTTCTGTGCCACTGCGCAACCCCTGGGGGCAGCTTCTGATGCTGTGTGCAGCCTTGGAGCAGGAACACCCAGGCGCAGCCCCTGCCCAGCCAGGAGGGTCCCTGGGCGACCGGAAGCGAGTCAGCAGTGCTCAGCCCAGCCTCCCTTCCAGGTGGCTTGTGGGTGAAACCGGACGGGGAAACCATGTGCGCCGGCTGCGGCTCCTATGATGGATGCTGGGATAGCAGTAGTGCGAGAACTGGGGAAGGGCCGCCTTTGACAGGACCAGCCAGCCTGAGAGCTAAGGTGGGCTGTGGAAGCTCTGCTCACGGCACCCCTGAAGAATGAGGCCTTTGGGGAGCAGCACCTGGGCGAAGCTTCCTGGGGGCAGGATCACTTTTCTCCCATGTCGCCGTCATCCGGGCCCCAGCTCAAGACACGTCTGTTTGTATGGGGGGGGGGTCTAGGTGAGTTCTTTCTCTGTTTTGGGGTGTTTTGACTCCAATATGAGTGGGGGTCGTGGACCCGCTTGGGGCTTTGGTTGGAACATTTACAGAGGCATCCATAGTCTTGACACCAGAGAGAAAGGCTGAAACCTGGAGTGGGTACATTCCCCCTCCCACCGCGGTTTTGTTGGCACCAACCACTGCTGGCTGTGCTGTGCCGGTGGCCAGATTGTATTTTACTGTCGTGTTTGTGAACACAGCTGTGGTTTTAGCAGCATGTATGTATGTGCCGTGTTGTTGTTATGTGGTCACTAGCCAGGCCGGGCTCCTTGTGCGAAGGGCACGGGATCAGACTGCGGAGCGAGCGAAGGAGGAGCAGCGCCAAAGGTGCTGCATGCGACTTAGGCGGGGGTGTCTCCCGCACATGCGAGTCCCGACTGCACAGGGGTGGCAGGCATTTCACAGCTGGTGTGTGGATTGATTTAAGGGCGGGCAGGGCTTTCAGGCAGAGGCAAATGGTTCTCCTCTGGCAGCCTTGCAAAAGGCTCCTTGGCACCTGCATAATTAACAAGTGTTTTGGCGATTCAGAGCCACCTGCATTTCTTCCCTCGAGCCTGTTTCTCTCGCTCTCAGAGCCAATGTGGGAAGGACGCCCCGGCCTCGGAGCACACCCTGTGCCTTGCAGTCCAAGACGGTGGAGAGTGCCTCGGGGTGTGTGGGCGCCTTCCCTTCCAAGGCCCAGTCGACACTCAATAGATGGCGATACAGAAGCTCAGGGTGGGGTGGAAAACTCAGCTGCTTCTGGGGTAGGCGTGGTGAGCCCTGGGCCATTCACCATGGTTTGTTCATGCAGCTGAGTTCCGATGACACAGTAGCCCGTGTTTTAGCAACAAGCCGCAGTTCAGCAAGAACCCGCAGCTAGCGCATGCTCCAGTCCCGAGTGTGGGTGTCTCTGTTGTCTGAAGCCAGGCTGAATGTTCCGTGATGTCACTCCAGCCCAGCCAGTATCCAGGCTGGGGGCCCAGCGGATGGCCAGTCCTGGCTTTTTGCATCCAGGTTGCCTGCAGAGCCACGCTCGCTTGGGGGGTCCTGCAGAGATGCAGAAAGGGCAAAGAGAGCGGATTCTCCTGACTGATTCTGGTTACGAAATCCCGCCCCCTGGTGGGCCAGAGAGGGTCCCACCCTTGGTTCCTCTGCCATTTCCCCCTCATTCCAAAAGGCTGAGCTCCTTCTCCTAAGACTTTGTGACTGTCAGGAAAAGTTGTCTCCAAGTGGCAACTTGCTGGCATGCGGGTCATTGCCCTTGGCCCTGGCCTCTTGCCCGCAGCGCCTCCTGCCACTGAAATTCAGGCCCCAGGGGCTTCTCTGAATCAGGATTCATCCCTCACACTGAAAGGCATTCAGTGCTCCAGCCCGAAGCAGAAGTGGCGGAGAACCTAAAGATTCACTTGCAGGAGCCCCCAGAAAAGAGGCATCTCGTCCCAACAAGTCTCTGCGAGCACCAGCAGTCCCATAGCGCCCCACAGCGTGTGGAGGCCAGCTCCGGGGGCGGCAGGTGCGCGGGGGTGCCCGCGACACCTGCCCCTGCTGAGGTGCTGGTGCTTTGCCCTGCTCCGACTACACCGCCACCGCGGACTTCAGTGCCTGTTCTGCTGAATGGATTTCAGCCGGTTTGCTTGGGCTGGCAGCTGAACCTTCAATAGTAACTTCTTATCTGGTCCAGTTGGCCCAGAGTGTGGCCTGAGGGAAGGGAAGGTGCCTGCCCTGCTGAGGCTAAGCAGGCCTGAGTGGGTCTTAGTCTGGAGGGGAGACCATCATGGAGACACCTTGCATACCACCCTGGGAGAAACATAGAAACAGAGCGAGTCAGAAGGGACCTCCTGGGCCATCTAGTCTGACCCCCCCCCCAGCTCCAGCAGCTACATGTACAATACACATATTGTACAGTATTTATTGTACATGTATTGAAATGCTGGGTACATGCACAATGAATGCAATAAAAAATAAATGACTGTGGTTTCTTTTTCAGGGGCCAGGCCAAAGCGGATCCAGAGGAACAGCATGAGCAACCTTGACCTCCTGACACTCCCTTCCGAAAAGGTAGCAAGAGGCTTCGGGTGGTGGAGGAGGGTGTACGGTGGCGGCCGGACTCATCTCGGCAGCCCCACAAGCCTAAGCGTCTTTTGAAGACGAGTGGCTTTTTCACTGACTATGCTGACTAGAAAATATGTAATTAGGAGATACGGCGGAATCAAGGGGATTATCTGGCCAAGAGCTTGGCGGGCCAAAAGGACTGCATTGCAATCTGCCCCTTCTAAGGAAGATGGGAGCAGCAGGCCCAGGCAGCTTGCGCCCCCTTATAATTGCAGGACCATGTGCTGCTCCAGGAGCAAAACAAAGAAAGTGAAAGCCACCTTGGGTGCTCACTGAGCTGTTCTCCCGGGAAATGCCCGCAAACTGGACATGAGCTGCCAGGACCGCCTGCTTCCCTTGGGAAGGGGCGTCGCTTCAAGCGCTTCCACACATTTGCACTCAGCCAGGAGTGGCGCCAGCAGTCAGCCTGGTCGGGCGCTTGCTGAGGGCCACAGCCCAGGGTCCCTGCCGTCGCTCCCCCTTCCCTGCTCGTTCACCCAGGGGCGAGGAGGAGCAGATGCCCCAGGAGCTCTGCCTGCCACACAAGCAAGCGGGGAAGAGGAGCAGCAGCCTGGCAAGAGGGGGGCGCGCGGGGAGAATCACAGGCGGGTAGAGCTGGAGGGACCGAAGGGGCACCAGGCCCAGCCCCTGCCCTGTGCAGGACTCCCAGCTAAGCCCTCCGGCTGCCTCCTGCATGCCTGCCGTGTGGGAGAGCCCGCACCTGCCTGGGGCATCAGCACCATCGCTTGCCACTCCAACAGTTCTGGCCAGAATCTGGCTCCCTGCCATTTCGGCCTGTTCCTCCATGCCGTGCCTTCTGGGATGGTCGCGAGGGGGTCCTGGCCCTCCTCCTGTGGCCTTGCAGAGTGCGACCCTCTCTCTTTCCCCTCAGCCTTCTCCTCTCCAGGCTGAGCATGCCCAGTTCTTTCCAGCTCTCCTCACAGGCTCCGCCTCCAGTCCTTTTTCCCTCCTCTGGGCCCTCCCAGCTGTGGCATCCTGCCCCCCCCCCCCGGGCCCCCCAGAAGCAGGGGCCAGCACCGCACACAGCTCTGCCTTCAGGGCTGCTGGCTCTCTCCCCGCACTTTGCTTGCAGGGCCGGTCAGCCCCCAGGCAGCACCCCCGGCACTGGGGCCTCCTCGAGGCCTTGCGCTCGCGCTCACCATTTCAGCGAGGTCTGGTGCATACCAGGCCCAGGGGAAGTGGGGGTGTCAGACCTCAGGTCCAGGGGCCAAGCGCAGCCCACCGGGGGCCAGATCCAGCCTGCAGGGCTTCCCCGCCAGGTCCCTTATGCCAGGCCCTTTTCTCCTAGTCACCGGTCGTTCAGCAATTTCCTAGCTTCTGTGCCTTTTGCACACGGTAGAAGAGGGCGCAGGGCTTAGTTGCTGGCATTCAGCGCACGCGGCTCCCAAGAGCTTCCCAGGAAGGAGATTCAGCCCTTGGGCTAGAAGGGGTTTCGCACCCTGGTTTATTGCCGCGACGGTCTCTTGTTCCTCCCAGGACCAGAATGGAGTGACCCATCACAGGGGAGAGCTCAAGCTCGCTGGGAAAGATTTCTTGCCGCTGCCCATCAGATCCCACAAATACAGGGAAAGCCAGTCCATGCTGGAAGGAAGGCCTCCGGAGCCCAGCGCGTCCCCCCTGGAAACCAGCGATGTCTGTCTCCAGCTGTCGCAGCTGGTAAGTGTGGCCATCTTCTGTCTGTGGCGTGGCAGTTCCTGGGATCCCGGCGTATGTTTTCATCACTGTGCCATCTTAATCATTAGGCTGTCACCTTTAGGGTCTTAGGACTGAAAAGAAATGAGCGGGCATGATTTATAAAGAGGCACCATGCGCAAGAAGAAGCTTTTCACACACACACGCACACACGGGTCTGTTCCGTTGTTCTGAGCTCCTGCCTCGCTTGGAGAAGGTCCCCCCGCAGTCACGGTCTTTTACCGGGAGGGCTGGAAAATCTGCCTGAAACCTTGGAAAGCTGCAGGTGCCAGTCCATGTTGGAAATACTGGGCTAGGCAGGCCAAAGGTCTGATTTGGCGCAAAACAGCTAGCTAGCTGCTTGCTTGCTTGCTTGCTTGCTTGCTTGCTTGCTTGCTTGCGGGTATTTCTAGGCCATCCATCACTTTCGTCCTCCAGATGGCTTGCAATAAAATAGCTTCCTATGATCTACTTTAAAGCAACTGCTTTTTCAGAACCACGAGGACTGGATCTTGCATTGTTTTAGCTGGGTGGCTACAGCTCAGTAACGGAGCCCTTGTTTTGCAGGCAGAAGGTCCCAGGTTCAGTGGACTGGGAGAATCATAGAATCATGAAATAGTAGAGTTGGAAGGGGCCAGGCAGGCCACCGCCCCCCCCCCCCCCCACTGTTGCCGGACACCAGGTCACACCATCCACTCAGAGGGCTGCCCAGTTTCTCCTTGAATGCCTCCAGTGTGGGGGAGCCCCCCACCTCGCCAGGCAGCTGGTCCCACTGTTGCATTGCTCTGACAGTGAGGAAACTTCTCCTGATGCCCAGCCTGAATCTGGGTCGCCACAACTTGAGTTGATTATTCCGTGTCTTACACTCTGGTATCTGTGAGAAGAGATCTTAGAGACTTGATGGGAAAATTCCTCTCAGGCAGTGTTGATCAGACTGCGCTTGATGGACCTATGTTGGCGTAAGACAAGTTCTGTGGTAGCTTACTCTGCACATGGTCAGAGTCCCTTGTTTGCTGGAGAGGGCCATGGTTCAGGACAGGAGCTCCTGCGTTGCACGCAGAGGGGCCTTTTTGGCAGTGGCGCCCCGACTCTGGAATGTGCTCCCCAGGGAGGTTTGCCTGGTGCCATCGCTTTATTCTTTTCGGCATCAGATGACACCCTTTTTATTTTCCCAACATTTTAACATTTAATTGGTTTTATCTCTGTTTTTATAATTAATGGTTGATTGCAGTGTGTTGTTTGTTGGTATGTTGTTGTTGTTGTTTGTAAGCCGTCCAGAGACTTTGGTACTGGCCAGCATATAAAAACTTTAAATAAATAAAATAAAGTAAAATAAAGTAAAATAAAATAAATAACCGTAAAAAGCAAAACCAAAGTTGCAGGTAAAAGAATGTCCCTGGCTGTGCTGAACCACACTAGACTTCAGGTAGCTACCATGCAGATGTGAAGTTACTGGACCGAACCAAGAAATGCTCCAGGAGGCCATTCCGAGCCAAGCGTTGCTTTTAGGAGGCTCCTGGACCTTCTGGGGAAAGAACTGAGCGGAGCCAGTGCAGGGGGAACGAGCGCCTGTTCCTCAGCCGCAGCGCCTGGCGAGGCCCCACAGCTTGCAGTCTCGCTTTGTTGGCATGCTGCTGCTTTGAAAAAGGCTCCTGCTCGGAAGTGGGCAGGGCGCCCACGGAAGGGCTTCCCTCCGCTGCCAAACCTATTTGGGATACTTGACCCCCCATTTTATCCGTGCAACAGCCCTGTGAGGTAGGTCGGGTGCCTGACGCCACCCGAGGAGCTCTCTGGCTGCATGCAGGACTCGAACGCTCGCCCTCTGCGTCCCAGACCGGGGCCCCACTGCTACGCCAGGACAAGCTCTCAGCGACCCTGCGTAGGCCCTTCCCTCCCGCCGCTCCGAAGATCAGTGAGGCCAGAGGAGGCGAGGCTGCATTTCGGAGAAACTGGGCCGACTCGGCCCATTCGGCTCCCCTTGGGGCGGGACGCTCCGAGACCAGGGTGTCCTTGCGCCTGTCGGCCTTGCCGTGCCCCAGGAAAGCCCCCCCCCCCCCCCCTCATGCGCCTCCCCCCATGCAAGGCCATTTATAGGCAATGGAAAGAGGACCAGGCGCGGCCGGAAGGACGGCTTGCAGGCAGGAGCGCATCCCTTGATGGGTCCCAGATGTCCTGCAGGAGGGACAGAGCTGGCGGCTCCACCCCAGGGAAGAGCGGAAGGTGCCCGGACCAAGCAGGACGTGTGGTCGCCTGGGCCAGTCCTGCCCCTTCTGGAGGCTTTACAGAAAGGACGCTGGATCTCAGTGTGGAGACCCCGCGAGGCGCCAAGCCAGTGCGCCAGGATTCTCTGGACGGCGGCGCCCCTCTCTGCGCCCACGGATGGTTTGGGGGTTTCCCTGCTTTTCTGCCACACGCTGTCCGCTTCTCCCCCCTTAGCACTGCATAAGGTGGGCTTGCTGCAAGACAATGAAAACTCCCACTGGCATTGTGAGCTAGCCAAGGTTGTCATAGCGGGGGAGAGGAATTACAGGAATAAGGAAAAATAAACCCAAGACCGTCTATAAAACGGCAAATATTTGGTTTGTCTGGAGGCCTGGAACTCTTCACTTGTCCATCCAGCTGCTGCTGTCGCATTGGTGCGCCGCTTGTTTGCGACATCTAAAACCTTCTAGCGCCCCTCCCAGTAAATTATAATGGTTAAACGATTCTCTCTCTCATTTTGGTTGAAAAAATACAAATAAAATTAAAAAATTGCCTACATCCGGCCATAATTTGTTGGAATAGCTCCATTGCAGTAGGCCACAGGTATAGAATATGAGGAGGGCTTAGAAATCTTAGGGGAAATGTCCCCCTCCATCCTCTAGGTTCAAAAGTCAAGGAATCTGCTCCCATTTCAGCACATAGAGAGATACGGTTAGTTGGATGGTCTTGGCCCCTTGTCCTGGCCCTTCATTTTCTCCCACAGATTGGGCCATGCCTGCCTCCGAGCTCATGAGAACTTCGGAAATAAGAGCAGCTAGAATTCCTAAACTGAACCAGTGTTTCCTCCAACATGGCTGGAAGAAAACCTGGGATCAACATTGCAAACGGATTCAGCCATATCAGTCAGAGCATTAAATGGTTTGAGGCCCATTCCTGGGCGCGTTTTGACAGAAAACTGCAGCTGAAGGCTGTTTTTTCTTTCTTGTCTGAACATTCTTATGATTCTGCTTATAATATGCGGTAAGAAGCAAGAGCTTAAAATTGAGATGTGGCTTTCAATTTGACTGGAAAACAACCAAAAATTATTTATCTGTCTATTTAACTATATTTAGGGATCACTTTTATAGAAGTCATTTCTAAGCAATGCACAAATATCAAGTCTTCTTAAAGACATTATTATCTTCCTGAGAACAGTGGAAAAGATCGTGTTTTCAGTAGGTGCCAAAAGCCCAGAAGGGTCGATGCACCTGTGGGGATGAGGCATTCAATCAGTGGGGCTATCCCCCTAAAGAGTGCTCTGAACTGTGGTGAACCAAATCGCCAGCGCTTTGGGTTACAGCAGGAGGGCACCTGCTCATGAGCAGACTGGGGGGGGGGGGGCTCTTGGGCAGCCTGGTCTTGAGTTGTTTCGGGCTTTGTAAATGAGTCCCAGAACCTCGAACAACCTACCTCTGTGGCATGGGGGCTCCCAGTGGACTTCCGTCGGTAGAAGTGCAAGATTAAAATTCCCGACAACGCGAGCCCGTGCGTGTTCAGATGCAGGGAAAGTGCCTTGCTGGGAATGGACTAGACCTCTAGCGATGGCCTCTTGACTGGCTTTGTCAGCTTAATTTTCATCCTGTGTTAGAGGTAGAGATTTCCAAGTTAAAGTGGGGCAAAACCCTACGACGTGGGGATTTGGCTGCCTTGGGACAATTCTCGCTGGCTGGGAAACGCTGCACCTCCTTCCCAGTGTGTGTGTTGTCGCATCGCATACCAGTACCTTTAAATGGAACGTGCTCTCGGGGGTGTTTTTCAGGGATCTCCACTGGTGGTTTTTGAGAAATGAAAGCCCCGAAAGGCAAGGAGGGGCCAGCACACATTCAGGGATTCTGAGACTTTGCGCCTTTCTTCATCAGGTTATTTTGCATGTTCTTCCATTTTATTAGACCCACCTGGAGACTGACCTTCTGCCCTAGACAGAGGTGTACTGCTGCACTGATAGTACGGGGGGGGGGGATCTGTAGGTAGGACAACACCTCCACCTGGGAGGCTCCCGGCATGCCCACCAAATGCTGTGCTGGCATAGAGCTTTTCCCGGCGCCGTGTGTGCGTGGAAACGGAGCATTTGCGAGCGCCTGCAGATCACCTCTTTCCAGTGCCAGGCCCCGTCCACTGTTCCCCCGGCACACGCTGGTCCTGTTCTTCTGCTTTTACGGATTAGCATTTTCTGCCTAGTGAGGGAGCCGCCTGCCTTTGCCGCCCCGTTTCCCTCTCTGACTGACTAGCTCGGGGTCAGAAATGACTGGCTAAATCTAGACCACATCGCAGTTTCTACGGATATTGAGATTGGCTGGGTCCTTTGAGGAACCGTTTTAGAGCCCCTCCAGCCCTCGCCTTCCTGTGCAGGGCCGCCCTTTCCCGCTGGCAGATCAGGGCCGCTCACCACACGGGAGGGCTCCTCTCCTCTCTCGCTGGCCGCAGCTGCCTTCAGTGCAGGCCAGCGGGGTTGCCAGGCACTTGCCTGGCCAGGCAAAGGAAGGCACTTCCCCGGGGCCAGGTGCGGATGTGTGCAGTCTGGCGTTTTGCGGTTTTCTCCGGGGCTCACGGTCGGAGCGATTGCGCAGCAACGGTGCCTCCTCGGCTGCCTGACTGTTCCGGTCAGCCCTTCCCGCCACGGGCTCTCACTTCCAGCTCGTCATTTTGGGCTGCCAGAGCAGTTATCGCTCAGCAGGCCTCCCCTGTCCGTTTACATCGGGAGCGTGGTAGAGGCACTCGCAAAACGGCTGCCGCAGGGCCAGGCT